ATATTTTTCAACAATAATGTTATGAATGTCATGTTAATAACAATCCTTAAGACTGTCAATAATACATACACAATGTCAAAATATTAATAATTCTATCTTTTAAAATAATTTATATATTTTAATATATTTTTACATATTTTTGAACACTAACCGCTATGGGGGTACGCAGTACAGTTTAGACGATTTGAAAATAAAATTATAAATCAAATTGTGGATTGACAAATAATCAAATCGCGGTTTGAAACGAATTGACGGATTGAATAACAATCTTAAGCAATTATCAAGCATTTATGTATTATATAATGCTAATTTGCATAATATTTTTCATATATATAACTACTAATTTATAACAAATTTCACATTTTAAATCTCTCTCACAATCATTTTTATTTTGATATTTCATTATAAATTATATATATATATATATGTATTAACTATAGCGGAGTAGTTTTCGAAGGTAAATTATAAATTTTAAAATTTAATCTGTAGTTAGAGGATAAAACGGTACGAATTTGTGCGAATCAATACGATTTTAGTGGATTGGACGATATTTTGCACAATCCTACTAAGGCTTTGTTTGGAAAGTGAATTGGATTTTTGGTTTTTGAGCTATTTTAGCCTTGAGCTAAAAGATTCGTTTGGGTTGAGTTTTTTTGACTTTTTTAACTTTTGAGAGAAAAAAAGTAAAATGATTATAATTTAAATATAGGGAATGGCTTCCCTCCAGTCCGTGATTAGACTGGAGAGTACTGTTGAGCTCGCGGGAGCCCACAATCTGAACCGTTAATGTGTAAAACTCGTTAAGTACTATATGCTTGTAAAAAATCACGTTGATCGGATATCGATAACTATGTGATCAAATCAGATTTTTGTAAGTCATTTATTTTTCACCGTCCATTTTTTTCATACCAAACTGCTTTGATCACATAGCTATCGATATCCGATCAACGTGATATTTTACAAGCACATAGTACTCGACGAGTTCTACACATTCAACGGTTCGGATTATTGAAGCAGGACCCATGGTGGGTCTCCATGGGCTCAACAGTACCCTCTAATTCACGATTGGACTAGAGGAAAACCATTCTCTTAAATATAATATTTTATCTTATTAATTTTTTCATCTATTTTATCTTTTTATAACTAATTTTAACCAAAAAACTAAATTAGTTTACATAACGTAGGCTAAAGCCTTGTTTGGAATACTCTAAAAAATTTAAAAAGTTAAAAAATTACTATCTTATTTAAGTCGCATTATCTTATTTAAATCACATTACTTCTTTATCACATCACTTCAAACTCAACCCATACCCAACCATATCCAACTCATATTTCATAAAAAGTTAAAAAATATACTTATTTAGGTCATTCCAAATCACCCTAACTGCATTTGTTTTAACATTTTTTACGTTATAATAATTAAATTTTGATTTTTCGTATATGTTTTCACGCGCTTCAAAGCGCTTGCTATAACTATTTTACAGAGTAATTATCAAGCGCACACACCTTCACGGTTACCTACGCTGGTCTGACATTTCAAACACGTGGCGAACTTTTATTCGTGTCGTTGACGCTCAGAATCGAGTCACCAAAGGAGAAACAAACAAAAACGCTACACTCTCTTGTCCGTTAGGTATAACGTCCCAATCAGCCACCTCGACAACGAAACAGCAAATCAATTTTATATTTATTTTAAAAGTGAATTATAATAAATCTCTTTTAATTATGTTCTATTTGCATTTTCAATGGTTCGAAACACTCAAAATGATATTATTTTGATACATTCAAGCCATTCAAATCATAAAAATTCAGACTGCCAAATATTTCCCTTACATTTTCGCCTCTTAAATTTCAAAATTAAACAATTAACCACATTAAAGTATTATGGGTAAATTACACTGACATTTCCTGAGGTTTATATTTATTACAGTCTCCCTTATCTTTTGGAAATTACATCCCCCTCCTAAGGTTTAAAATTTCATTACAGATTCCTCCTCAGCAATTTAATTTTTTTAAATACCAATTTTGTTTTCACTGGATAAATTATGTTGACACCCCTCACATTTTAAAAATTACAATTCCCTCCCTAAGGTTTAAAGTAGTATTACCAATTGTCCCCTCAGTTAGTATTTGTTGGAAAAAAAAAAATCATTGAAAAAAAAATTAATTGGAAAAAAATTTTGTTAGTAAAATTTTTAAATTTCTTTTTAAAAACTAATGTAAACTCATTTTTTGAATTTACGTTTTTTTCTCAAATTTACAAACCGAGACAACAATTTATAAATCAAAAAAATTATCAAATAAGTTTTTATGACAGTTTTTAAAATTTTTGTAAATATAAATTGAAAATTGAAAACGAAATGGTTACCAAACATGTCTCGGATGGTAAAAATGTCGTAAAATTAACAAATAATTAAATAAGTTACCAACGTAAGAAATTTTTTAGACTATGTATGGTTTGATTTTTAGAATTTTTTTTAGAAATAAAAATTTAATTTGGTTAAGAAATAAAAAATAAAAATAATTATCATTTAAGGGTAAAAAATAATTATCATTTTAATTTTTGGGCAGGTTATATACATACGTATGGCTGTTTCAATTTAATTTGTAAAAAATTATTTATAACCACTCGAAAGATAAAAATTATATAAAAATTATAATTATTTTTTATTTTTATTTTTTAACCAAATTAATTTTTAATTTGCAATTTTTTTTTTCTTCTAAAAATTAAACCATGTATAGCCTAAGAATCTTTTGATAAGTTATTTCTTACGTTAATAACTTATTTAACTATTTGTTAATTTTACGATATTTTTACCATCTGAAGCTTGTTTGGTAACTATTTCGTTTTCAGTTTTTAATTTATATTTACAAAAATTTTAAAAACTGTCATAAAAACTTGTTTGATAATTTTTTTGGTTCATAAATGGTTGTCTCAGTTTGTAAATTTGAGAAAAAAATATAAATTCAAAAAATAAGTTTACATTGGTTTTTAAATAGAAATTTAAAAATTTTACTAACAATTATTTTTTTCAAATAATTTTTTTTCCAATTAATTTTTTTTTTAATGAATATTTTTTCCAACTAATACTAACTGAGGGACAATTGGTAATGCTAATTTAAATCTTAGGGAGAGGATTGTAATTTTTAAAATGTGAGGGGTGTCAATATAATTTACCTAGTAAAGAAAATTGGTATTTAAAAAAATTAAATTGCTAATGGAGAATCTGTAATGAAACTTTAAACCTCAATGAGGGAGTTGTAATTTCCAAAAGGTGAAGAGGAGAACTGTAATAAACATAAACATCAGGGGTATCAATGTAATTTACCCAAGTATTATTTTGTTACAGTTAATATTTTATATTAAAAAAAAAATTAAAATAAAATAAGATTATGTATAAAATATATAACACATTTATTGAATTTTTAAAACAATAATATCCTGATTTAGTAGGGGTATTCAAAAAAATCGATAAAATTGATAAACTGATCAAATCCTATCCAAACTATCAGTTTGGTTTGTTTTTTTAGTTATGATTATGATTCTGATTCTGATTCTGATTTTGATTTTGAAAATTGTGGAACCATTCAAATTGATCTAATTTTCGGTTTCAAAGCTTTAGTTACGGTTCTGAACTGAACTGGGCCGCAACATATTTGTTTATTATTTTTTATGTTTTTATATAAAAAAAATTAAAATATAAAATGTTTTTTATAAGATTTGAATCATAACCGTCGTTGTAAAATTGATAAATTCTAACCAACTTAACTAAACTAATTATTATTAATTTGTTTACTAACATAAAATTCATATCATATTTATTGTTATATAAAATTTCTAAAATCGTAAACTGAATCGAACCAACCAATTTTTATGATTCGGTTCTGATTTAGTTATACAAGTTGACGTTTCAGTTACGGTTCTAATTTTTTTGAAATTGTAAAAAATAATTCAATTTTTGATTTACTCTAATAACGGATCAATCCAATCTATTTACACTTTTATGATTTAATGATCTCGTTTGCACTTTGAAAGATAAAATGAAATGAGATCACTAAATAAATATAATATTAAGGGTGTTTGGTATAACTTACCTCAGTTACTTATAACCTTTTTTTTGTGAAAATATATATTAAATTATATAGTATAACTTTTATTTATAAATTAATGATTTATCTATCAAATTTATTTAGTCTGAATTGGCTCAAATAAGCCTCTTCTCAAGAAGAGACTCGGACGTACTAATTCGATGGCGGTAGCGGTAGGGGTGCAACTTGTACAGGCTTAATTCGAGCAACCCAAAGCCTAGCCTGAATTTTTTTAGGGCTTGGACAAAATATTTTTAAATTCAGTACAGTCTTGGACAAAAATTCAAAAGTCCGAAATAAATTTGGACGGATTTGAGTAAAGACATCAAATAATTCGAGCAATCAAAAATCCGAATTATACATATATAGATATATAAAATTAAATATACATATAAATTATTAGCCATTACATGATATTAAAATAATTTATATTATTAAATCATATTGGATATATATTATATATACAAATAACATAAATCTTTTTTTTTTCTTTTTTTTTTTTTCACTCATAAGTTGTAAGGACTACTATAGTAGCATCTCTCTTACATTATATAAATTATCTGTTTTGATGATATTAATGATTTTCTATAAATAAAAAAATAAATTATAAATAGAGTCAAATTTTAATAATCTAATGATATAGCTGGAAAAAGAAAATGAAATTCATTTACAATTCGGACAATTCAGATTTAACTCGGATCGGACTTGGACAGACAATTTTAGATTACAATTCGAGTTTAGATAAATTTAAATAGATTTCAACACAACTTGAGCCGAATTTAAATAACCTCTCAATCCGACCGAATCCTGCGGACCGTGTAGTGTAAATGAATCATAATTTGGAGAGTTTACTGTAAATTACCTTATTTTAATATTAATGTTACCTAAACTGAAATTAAAAAATTTGGACACACAACAGTCTGAGAGCACCAAAAACAAAGTCGTCGTTATATTCATAGCCATTTCGATTTCGAAGCTCTTCCTCTTTTCCTCATCTTCCATTGATGGTGGTGGTGAGTGTTTGCGCAGCTTTGAATGGGCGGCCGCGAACCAAAATGCGTGCCAGAAAACAACTACGAAGAGAAACCGGCGCCGCCGCTCACGACGGTGGAGCTTGTTTCCTGCCGCGATGCTCCGATTCTGTTACTGTTGTTCTTCCACAAGGGCCTGCAGGCGGAGCTGGCTGAGCTCCGCCGCCTGGCGGTGGAGGCGTCGGAGAGGAGCTCCGGCGGCGGCCGCGACTTGATCGTCGAACTCCGTGGGAGATTTGAGTTCTTGAAGTTTGTTTACAAGTATCACTGCGCTGCAGAGGATGAGGTGAGTCTGACTATGATCAATTTGTTCAAATTTTTGTCAAATGTGTTGTGAATTTTGTCTTCGTTGTCTCTGGTTTTCCCTTCTTTTGAGTAAAAATTGATTCGTGGTTCTCTTGGCGATGAAATTATTTGGTTATGAAGAGTAGCACAATTTATGTTAATGCTCACAAGAAGTATAATTTAGTTAAATTCAGAGCTTGCAGGTGTGTATGAACCAAGAATAACCTAAGTTGACTTGCTATAATGTATGGATTTATTTATTTATTTATTTTTAAATTCTTCCCCCCCCCCCTTTCCCCCCCTTTCCTAGTTGAATTGTGGCTATTGCTAGGTGTGATAAACGAACCAAATAGCTCGAGTTTGACTCGTAGAAAACTTGTTCGAGATTGAAAATATTTTGGAGTTCCTTAAAGTTTTCAAACCAAGCTTGAACAGTCAATTGTTCGTTCAGTTACTCGAGCTTAGCTTGACAAAAACACGTTTGAAATTGGCTCAAAAGTTTAACGAATCAAGTTTCAATAAATTTTGAAGCTTCTTAAAGTTTTCAAACCGAGTTTGAACAGTTAACAGTTCAGTTCGTTTGGTTCATTGATCAACTGCACATTTTTACTCTTCAGAGCATCTCCAACCCACCCTCTATAACTTCATATTTGAAGGATTTGCTTTTCCAACTCCTCTAAATCCATCTCTATTTGGAAGGAGGATGGGTTGATCCTCCATATTTGGAGAGAGGATGAAAAATAGTGGATCCATCTAAAATACTATTCATCCTATATTTTTTATTATATTACAAATAACTTTTAATATGTAAATTTAATTTTTATAAAATTGGCATCATTAAAAAGGGTGAAATCATACCTTTAAAATGAGTATAATATTAATTATATTTTACAAAAATTTCAAAATTAAATATTTTTTAATGAACAAAAATTATTTACTTTTTGATGAAAATATTTTTGAGAGAAATCTTTAGAGAAGAAAATGATGATTTATGGTTGGAGTTTGAGTGAATAGTGCGATACTTTATATTCACTTTTTGAATAACAAAAAGTGTTTTCATCCTCTAATTAAGAGTGTTGGGTTGGAGATGCTCTCGAAGTAGCAGTTTGGATATTTGAGGACATTTTGTTTTGGGTAAATTACACTGACCACCCTTGAAGTTTAGAAAAAACAATAACATGGTGTAGATCAGTCATGTTTCCCTCACCTTTTCCTTTTCTCTTTTCAAATCTCTACCTAAATCCATGATTCAAACGCAGCCAATGTCTCACAAATTTGAGATAATTACACTAGCTACTCTTTAGTAAAACTAAAGTGACCAGAGTGTTAAAATCTACCATCACCTACTCCACCTACCACCACCTACTACACACCTACCACTACCACCTACTACCACCTACTCCACTACATCTCCTATACAAGGAGCCCCTCACCATTTGTAAAATAATATCAATCAATCAATAATACAATTCTCTATTTCTCTTTATACATTAAATTTTCTACATGGTATCAGAGCTATAAGATTTAAACCTGTATTTTTTTCTCACCGGCGGGCAGTCGGCCGGCAACTTTGCCTCTGCTGCCCGCTGGAATTTTCTTCTCTCTCAACAATGGCAGATTTCATCCATACCCTTTCTGTACCTCCTCTTTCTCGAGCTTTAGCAAGAAGCATTCTTGCCCTCTCAGGTTCATGGTTCTCAAATTCAAGTTTGACTGCAGCAAGCCAGAGTTCAGGGTTCTGAGCATTCTTCTTCCTGGCCATGGTGAGAACTGCTCGAGCTTTACTCAATCCATTCATCTTCTCCTCAAGGTTAGCAAGCGAAAGCCAAAGGGGAATACAACTGGAGCAGTGCTTCAAACCTGACTCATAGGCTTCCTTAGCCTGTTCCAAGTTACCAAGCCGTTCCTCCAGCTGCCCAAGCATCAACCATAATTTGAAAAATGACGGGAAGAGTTTCAGCCCTTCGTCAAGTAACCTCCTCTCCTCGGTGGTGTGCATGAGGGGAGGCTGGCTCTCTCTTGGCACATCTACTCTCTCTCTCAATTTCTTTTACTCTCTCGGCATCAACCTCTCTCTCTATCTCTCACAGAGCATTGCAGAAGTTGGAACTTGCAAACACACACACTGCCACCTCACTCTCTCTCTCTCGGGTTAGGGAGGGAGAGGGCCATACACACACCCATTTTAAGAGACATCCATCCACACCACACCACCCAACTTTCTTTTTATTATTTTATCACACAAGGGAGACAGCCCCATGTGAACCATTCACACGGTTTCACACATTCACTTCCCCAAACCAAAACAAACAAAAAACATAATAAAATAAAATAAAACAACAAAACACACAAAATAAATAAATAAATAAAAATAAATACCAATAAAAATATATATATATTCTGAATCTCACCTTTTCTTGTATAGATATTTGAATCTCACCTTTTCTTTTTTTATTTATTTTTTCTTACTTTAACTTTCCCGACCTTTTTATTTTTTATTATAAAACTTAATTGGTGCTCTCCTCCGTTTGATTTCCAACTCCATTATTTTTATTTATTTTCTCCAAACCACTTTCCTTATTTCCCCCATCTTTCATTTTTGATTTCAAATATATTTTTATTATTTTTTCTTTATTTTTCTTTCACATTATTTTTAATCTTTTTCCAATTCATGAATTGAACTGTTTGTGACCCTTTGTGTTCATGGTACGTATAGGGTCGAGCTCCGGGGCAAATCATCCAGTCGATCACTGTGAGTAATATCTAAACAAAGATATCTGAAGTATGTTGTTTGTCCAATTGCTTACTTCTATGTAAGTCTTATAAGTGCGATAATTTGAATGGTGGACAATGTTTGCTATGCCAAATGAATGGGCCAGAGGCCAGTCTGACATGAATGAAAGTATGAATGGGCTAGAGGCCAGTTTAACATGAAAGTATGAATGGGCCATAGGCCAGTTTGACATGAAAGTTTGAATGGGCCAAAGGCTAGTTTGACACGAAAGTATAAATGGGCCACATGCCAGTTTGATATGAAAGTCTGAATGGGCCAAAGGCCAGTCCGACATGAAAGATAGAATGAATGGGCCAAAGGCTAGTTTGCTCTGAATGAAAGAATGGATGGGCCAAAGGCCAGTTTGATCTAAATAAAAGACAAATGGGCCAAAGGCCAGTAGGACACGAATGAATTGGGCCCGAGGCCGTATGATGTATTCAGAACCGCAGTCACTTGACCTAAATTTGTGTATATATATATGCTAATAGAAATACGAATTGGGCCCAAGGCCGTTTGAAGCATGTTGTTCTACATACCGTCTATATAACTTCTTTATTTGATATTATTCACTAGGCTTTCGCTCACGCTCATTCATGTGTTTGTAGGTGAGCCAAGAGAGGTCCAAACACAGCCTCAGTGAAGTTTGTGTGGAACAA